GTGGCCTCACCAGGGCAGAGCAGAGGAGGAGAATCTCTTTTGACCTACTGGCCAGACCGCTTCTAATACACCCCAGGATGCCATTGGCCTTCTTGGCCACGAGGGCACATTGCTGGCTCATGGGCATCCTGTTGCTCACTAGAACCCCCAGGTCCCTTTCTCCTACACTACTCTCCAGCAGGTCAGTCCCCAACCTATACTGGTACATGGCGTTCTTTCCCAAGTGCAAGGCTCTACACTTGTCCTTTTTATATTTAATAAAATTTCTCCCTGACCAACTCTCCAGCCTAAGTCTCGCCAAATGGCAGCACAGTCTTCTGGTGTGACAGCCACTCCTCCCAGTTTTGTGTCATCAGCAAACCTGCTGATGGTGCACTGTTTCCTCATCCAGGTTGCTGATGGATATATTGAACAGTACTAGTCCCAATACAGACCCCTGACAGACTTCACTAGATACAGGCCTCCAGCTAGACTGTGCCACATTGACCACAACTCTCTGACTTCTTCCCTTCAGCCAGTTCAGAATCCACCTCACTACCCAATCATCCAGACCACATTTCCTCAGTTTACCTACAAGGATGCTGTGGGCGCCAGTGTCAAATACCAGATAAACCATGTCCCCTGCAGTGTCCTCATCTATCCACCTGGTTATGTCCTCATCACAGGCTATCAGGCTGGACAAACATGACTGCTCCTTGGCAAAGCCATGCTGACTGCTCTTAATGACCTTCTTATCCTTGATATGCCTAGAGACAGCACTAAGGATAAGTTGTTCCATCACCTTCCCAGGGATGGAGGTGAGGCTGATTGGCCTGTAGTTACCCAGGTCCTCCTTCTTGCCCTTTTGGAAGACTGGAGTGACATTAACTTTCCTCCAGTCCCCACGACTTACCAAAGAGGATGGAGAGTGGCCTAGAAATGACTTCCACCAGCTTCCTCAGCACCCCCGGGTGCATCCCATCAGGGCCCATGGGTTTATGGATGTTCAGATTGCCTAACTGATCCCTAACCCAGTCCTCATCACCCAGGGCAAACTCCTCCTTTATCCTGACTTCCTCTGGGGCCTCAGGTGTCTGGCACTCCTGAGGACAGTCTCCAGCAGTATAGACAGGCAAAGAAGGCATTCAGCAACATTGCCTTCTCTGTACCCTCTGTCACCAGGGCACCCGCCTCATTCAGCAGCGAGCCTACATTGCCTCTAGTGTTAATTTTGTCCACAATGTATTTGAAGAAGTCCCTTCTGTTCTCCGTGACCTCCCTGGCAACTTTTAATTCCACAGAGGCCTTAGCTTTCCTACTTGCCTCCCTACATCCTCTGATAACAGTGTCATACTCCACCTAAGTGGCCAGCCCCTGCTTCCATGGTCTGTAGACTCTCTTCTTCCACTTGAGCTTGCCCAGCATGTCCTTCTTTAACCACACAGGTCTCCTGGATCTCTTTCTTGATTTCCTACTTGTTGGGATGCACTGATCTTGAGCTTGGAAGAAGTGGTCCTTGAATATTAACCAACTCTCTTGGGCTCCTTTACCTTCTTGCACCCTGTCCCATGGGGTTTTCCCTAGTAATTGCTTGAAAAGGCCAAAGCTGACCCTGCTAAAGTCCAGGGTTGTGATCCTGCTTGGTATTCTGTTCCTACTGCACAAGATCCTGAATCCCACCATCTCATGGTCGCTGCAGCCAAGCCTGCCCTCAACCTTCATCGCTTCAACCAGATCCTCCTTGTTAGTGAGTATAAGATCCAGCAGCGCTCCTCTCCTAGTTGGCTCATCCATCATTTGTATCACAAAGTTATCATTGATGCACTAGAGGAAATATGAAGATGACAAATGTAGTGTTCAAATCTTCCACTCAATTTTTTCTTCCCAAACAATACTTGTCATTTCTGAGGCTCATACTTTCAGTTTGCACAGTTATTGTTTATAAATATAAAAATGTTCCGAAGTTTATAACCAAACATATATATTTTTTTGGTGTTGTCCAGTGTGTCATCAATACATCAGTCGCTGATTTGTTTATGCCTTTATCTCTAAGAGCAACTAGGACTTAGGGAAATATTTCATACAAATCCATTATCTCAACAAAGCTTCAGAATTAAGATATATGTGTCTGTTCCTTAAACTGTTTAGCAACAGAACTAAAATTGTGAACATAAGTATATTTCCAGGCATAATAATTCTGCCCAAAAAGAGCAGTGCTTTCTTTTCTAATTTCATCTGCTGATATTCCTTCAGTTCTTTTTGAAGAAACAGGGGCAGGTCAGATACAGTATCAAGGATCAAAATGTTGAGTTTACTCTAAAGAAGGGAATTACAGATGCCCAGGGTTTTCCTAAACTTGAATCAAGACTTCATGTGAACTCAGTTATCAACAACTCCTCTGTCACTGGCAAGTGTATTTAATAGGTGAAGAAACAACAATTGGCTTTCACTTTATGAGCTACTGATGATGCATATATATTGCAATGCTACAGGTTTGAGGAAGGGTGTCTGGAGAGCTGCCCAGGCAGGAAAGGATCAGGAGGTGTTGGTTGACAGTTTACTGAGCCAGCAGTGTACCCAGGTGGCCAAGAAGGCCAACAGCACCCTGGTCTGTATCAAAAATAATGTGGCCAGCAGGACCAGGAAAGTGATTGTTCCCCTGTACTCAGCATTGGTGAGGCTGCACCTTGAGTATTGTGTTCAGTTTTGGGACCCTCACTACAAGAACGACACTGAGGTGCTGAAGCATGTCCAGAGAAGAATGAAGGTGGTGAAGAGTCCTGAGAACAAGTCCTGTGAGGAGAGGCTGAGGGAACTGAGGTTGTTTAGCCTGGAGAAAAGGAGCCTGAGGGGACATCTTACCAGTCTCTACAACTGCATGAAAGTGAGTTGTACTGAGGTGGCAGTCAGTCTCTTCTCCCTAATAGCTAGTAACAGAATGATAGGAAATCGCCTCAAATTGCACCAGGGAAAGTTTAGGTTGGATATTAGGAAGAAATTCTTTGCTGAAAGAGTTCTCAGGGCACTGGAACAAGCTTTCCCAGTGAGGTAGTTGTGTCATCATCGCTGGAGGTATTTAAAAGATGAGTAGATACTGTGCTTATGGACATGGCTTAGTGGCTGATTTGGTAGGGTTGCATCAATGGTTGGACTAGATGATCTTAAAGATCTTTTCCAACCAAAACTATAACTCTATGTAATTACTTACCTAAACTTTGCCACATGCTGAAGATTTCACATCCCATTGTTACCCGCATGTCACCATATCTGCAACATATTAAAAAGTAAAGCAAAATGGTGAAAGATCATTTATGAAATTCAAGTTTATATGTCATTCTGTGACATTGTTAAAGGAAGTGTCTCATTGGTAATCCATAAGAAAACTACTTTAAAAGTGATCACTTCTTCCAAGTTTCTGGTCCTTCCATTGTACCCAGCTAAAACCAGATTCCTAACCCCAAGTTTAGTCGCATTAGTGTCAAAAGTATCAGTTCTTTCTCAATGCTATAACAGCAGTAACTGTAGCTGTGAAGCAAAAGCAACTTTTTTGCACCAGTATGCTACAGTTCTCTCTTTGAGAACAAACAGTTTTGCTCTAGCATAAAGAAATAAAATTAATTCATACAGACAACAGTGCCGGGCCTGGCAGGAACACCTGAACCACTATGAACCAACTTATGCTCGAACTGGAAATCAAGTGTTTGCACTGCTACATCACAGCTACTTTGCTCCCAGTATTTGAACCAATGTGTGGACTTCTGCAAAGGCTGCTATCAGCTCTGACGACCTATACAAAGAGCCAGAACCAATTCTCATTCCAGTCAGTGGAAATGCTGTCACCGTTATCTTTTTGGTAGGCCTTTCAACAACATTTCGTGTCTTGCATTTTGAGAAGCATTTGATCTATTACAGTTTTCTGGAAGTTAACAGCAGTACTTACTTTTCTAAAACCTTTTTCTTCTTGGAAGGTGTGAACATCTCCAGTTGCAGACATAACTGGTTTATGAAAATGACAGCAAGAAAAAAGTAGGAATCCCATATCTACAATAAGCATATGGCATTTGGTTATTTCATTTCCTCAGTACCAAGATGCAAAATCACATCACTTGTTTCAGTCTCAACTATTAAATTACTCAAACTCTTTCTTGGCTAAATCTTTTCACATCCAAATACACTTTTCACCAAACCCAAAAAGTTCAGCAGAAATACATCTATTTTACATGTTCTACATCTCTTAAATAGAAAAGTTTCAGAGCTGTAGATAATTTTTTTTCCATCCCTCCAAATCAGAAAACCTTACCTTCTAAATCTGGAAGCATGGTTTTGGTATATTTAAATAGAAAAATACAAAAAGTCCAAAACCCCCAAAATTCTGACATTTCAAAAGCTATTACATAACAGAATTGTCAACCTCTGGCCTGTCCTACTTTATAATATTATTTGGAAATCTCAGTTGTTGCAGACTTCACCGGACAAAACCAAAGGCAGGTTTCACTATCCTTTTGCAAATATACAAAATGTTTTGTACACTTGCTTTATGAATCAGATATTGAATTTTCTACTTAAAAGACTTAAAGATAAATTTAAAGATAAATTGAAATACATTAAAATATTAATTATTAGAACCTAATTATAGACACTTTGTGCCAGGAGGAAGAAAGAAGTGTAAGGGAAGTCCTGCTGCAGACACTGCAGTTCTGCATGATAGTAATAACATTGTTAAGCAAGTTTAAGGACCACAGATGCCTTATCTACAGGCAGACCTTTTATCAGTTTTAGCCTCTGAACTTCTGGAACTTCCTAAATGATAGGCTTCTTCATGTCCAGTTATGACAAGTAGATAAAACTACATTCCCACCAAATCTCTCCAACAGGAGTGTGGATTTTCAGAAAAGCATCCACAACTCTGCAGAAGTCAACAGGAGCTCGCTGTCTTCTCTAAGAAGGAAATTCTGCACTTGTTACAATGAAGCAATTGAACTAACATGTCTTGATTGGGCAGAATATTCATTCAAGCTTCCATGGGAATGGGTCTTTTCAGACACGTTCCTAGGTCTTCTCATCTGAATCCTGAAAGTATCATTCCACAATTCACAGTTTATCATAGGTACCACATCTTGCTATAGATGTACTCATTAACTGTATTATTCACCTTGCAGTGTCAGAATTTGTTAATTTTAATTACGTGCTGGAGCATGTCTGAAGGAGGCCAACGAAACTGGAAGGGATACGAGAACGTGCCTTATGAGGAGCAGCTGAGGGAACTGGGGTTGTTTAGCCTGGAGAAAAGGAGCCTGAGGGGAGACCTTATTGCTCTCTACAAATGCCTGAAAGGAAGTTCCAGGAGGTGGGGGATGGTGTCTTCTCCTATACAACAAATGGACAAGAGGAAACGGCCTCAAGTTGCACCAGGGGAGGTTTGGATTGGACATTGGGAGAAATTTCTTTACTTTCAAGCATTGGAACAGGCTGCCCAGGGAAGTGGTGGAGTCACCACTCCTGGAGGTATTTAAAAGACATGTAGATATGATGTTTAGTGACATAGTTTAGTGGTGGGCCTGGCCGTGTTAGGTTAATTATTGAAATCAATGATCTTGAAGGTCTTTTCCAATCAAATGCAAAAATCCTGAATAAGTAGTCTAAACCAGAGATTGCAATAACAAAATGAAAAATAAGAAATTTAAAAAAACCCCACTGCACTCCTGATTTTTAAGACAGTCCTGTATTTAAGAAAATATTTAATCTCTGAGCACTTGAAACTGATGATTTAGTATATGTTCCAGCTGTTTAGATACTGGAGCTAGGCTTAAAAATAAACAACCAAGCAATAGGATGATGTAGCAGATATTGCATCTACCTTATGTTAGACACATTTACTCTACCTTGTAATCAAAGTTTTCATTTAAGAAGTTTTTACGAAGGGCATCCGAAAGGTACAAGACTGTAGTAATGATCACACTGGGAAGAAAAAAAAGAATGAAAAAGACAGTAGTTTTCATTAAACAGAAATTAATATTTAATACTCAGAGCCAGACAATTTTCCAGTGAAGAAATAAATGTAGCATGTACAGTGGCATTAAATACTACATTTGAAATATATACAAATATCTGACTGCTAACAGCACTTATTGACAGAAAACATGCACATGAAGAAAAATTATGAAAATAGGCGTGATGCAATAATGCATGCTGAACACAGGTGTTCTGTATAGAAGAACAGAATTGATCAAAAAGACAAATCATAAATTTTGTTCTGCAAATAATATTGATATCAACGTTTAGTCACAACAGAACAAATATATATAGGCAAGTAATTGCTTTCATCTTTCTTAGAATGAAAGTATGTGCGTACAGATTACAGATATAAAATATCTAGTAATTGCCAACATGAAATATTTACAGTACTATGTACAAAGAGTCTTTTTAATGGCAAGACATGAATGCAAAACTGCATAAGCTCTGGGATAAATATCTCTATTCGGTATGTCACAAATAGTCATACATTGCCCTGCATTGACATCTGCACGAACTACATTAATCCGTCTTAGATAAATATATATGAACAAAAGCCTTTCACAGTGGTTGTTACCAAAGGTCAATGACAGTCATGTTCACTGAAGGAACCAAGTTTGGTAATCTACAGAAACACAACATCCTTAAAGATCATTTAAATACAATGTATTTAAATGATTCAACCCTCAAGCTAACCTCTGCAGCACTTGCATTAATCAACATATTTATTCAAACCAAAAATCCATATAAACCATTAAATTCTTTTTGAAAGTAGTCAGTAGTGGATGCTTACGGAGGAGAAAGAAAGATAAGCATAGAACAATCTTTTCGCTGTCACATTCACGTATTCTACAACTGTTTAAAGACCTTCTGAGAGAAAGGTTATATCCACAGACTTCATTTAATTACCACCTATCTAATATTAATACATCCAGTCTTTCTTTGAAAACGGTTCTTGACCCATATGCTATTACAATGCTTAAATTTATTTCCCTTTTCATACTTCAGACTTTATTTGTTTATTATTTTTTCAATGCACTCAAGACAAACTATATTTTATTAAATATAATAACAGCTATATATATATTTAAGGGTATAATATTTTTCATCTTCAGAACACTGAAGAATTGTACTTTAACCAACCCGCCTAGAAAATAAATTATATTTTTCTTCTGGCACTTTTGACAGATTTCAAGTTTATAAATACAAACTGGCTAGGCATTATTTAGTGTATCACTAGTTCAAACGCTTGCTTCTATTTCTCTAACTTTAAAATGACTGTTCCTGCCAAACTTTACCTTCTGGTTTGATGTGTCTGAACACCTGTAACAGCCAAGCCTGAGACTTTTTGGAGCGCTGCTTGAGTCTTAAGTTTCATTTGTTCACATTTCCACTCCTCAAACGTCATTTTCATACATATAACTTTCTTAACAACTATACTGTGGTCTTTCTACCCAAGAAGTGTTCCATGTTTAGCACTAATCTCTATAGTTTACCCCACTTTTCCACCAATGGGGAGTTACAATGTGTGTACAGCACTCCCTGTTGCAGCACCGAAGACAAAGTAAAACGTCAAAGATCTGCAAAATAAGCAAAGCTAAGAATCAAGGCACGGATAAGAGAAGAGTCCTGCCGTTATTGTGAATGATTTAATTTACAGCCCATATGTCTCACAAAATGGAAATAGTTTGCATATTTCAGGAAGATGTTTTGATAGAAAAGGTCAGTTCATCAGAACTATTGCTATGTAAAATTTCAATATAAGTCCAAAGTAATAAATCCCTGAAAAATTGTATGCAAGAGAAAATTTCACAAGATCTCAGAAACTGCAACCATACTGCCAAGTTTACGTTGCTGTTGTGCTTTAACCCCTGCTGGCAACTAAGCACCACACAGCACCACACAGCTGCTCGCTCGGCCCGGGTGTGATGGGGAGGAAAACTGAGAAAAGCAAACCTTGTTGGTTGAGACAAGAACACTTTAATAATCAAAATAATTTTTAAAAGGTAATAATAATAATGAAGAAAGTAAGAAAGGGAGAAAAATAAAAACCCAGTAAAAGACAAGTGACTCACAATGCAATTTCTCACCACCCGCTGGCCGACTCCCAGCACTGATCGGCCCCTCCTGGCCAATTCCCCTCCAGTTTATATACTGAGCATGATGTGCTATGGTACAGAATTACTTTGGCTAGTTCGGGTCATCTCTCCTGGCCACGCTCCCTCTCAGCTTCTTGTGCATCTGCTCACTGGTTCCAGAGCATGGGAACCTGAAAAGTCCTTGGCTAAGGATAAGCACTATTCAGCAACAATTAAAACATCACTGCGTTATCAATGTCATTCTCACACTAAATCCAAACCTCAGCTCTGAAACAGCTACTATGAAGAAAACTATCACAGCTGAAATCAGGACAATACACAGTTCTATTTATGTCTGAGACCATTCCTTTCTTGCTACATTCCTTCCATGGCAGGTGAAACTGAAGAGAAAGATCTGCTTCATTTCTCACGAGACGGTGATTAGTGCAGAAATTTAAATGCAGTTTTTAGAGTATTTTTTTCCAGAATTTTCCTGAGACAATGGAGTAATTGCAATGCAGGTATTTCTTGCTATAGGCAATATAGCTCAGGTTTGGTTTATTTGGTAAGCCAAAGATATGATATTGATTAGTTGATAAAATAAGGGTTTATATTGTGAGAATATATATGTTGTAGATAGAAACCTTCAAAATCTCAGACTGAACATAGAAAGATGAAGCCATTGCTTTTGATCCACAATCTGTTATTCTGAATCAACAACAAGCTAAAATCAAGGAGGACAGAAAACATGGCTAAGGTTGGGAGTTCTCTTTCCTCTTTTTCCTACAAATAATGTAGATTCTATTAAAAAAAAAACAATGAAAAACAAGCAAAAATGCAGAACGCAGCAACAGCAGCCAGAGGACAGATGGACAGCTGCCTGATCTAGTCCAATACTTACATTCCAAGTTGCTTCCCAGCCAACAATTTCAAAACAACACTTATGTGAAATCCATTTCACTATCAAACTAGAAAACATTGAGTTTGTGACAAGATTTGCTTTTCCTCCTCTTACCACCTGCCATAGATTTGTGCAGAACCACTGACTGTTTTACAGGAGAAAAACTGCTGCTTTTAGCTAATGAATTATTCTGGACTCATACAGTGAATACTAACCTAAGGTCCACTCAGGCCACTGTTGACAGAGTGGTTTTTCCATCACATTTTTACAGGAAACTTTTCTGCAATAGCCTGTTTGAAAAATCCAAAGCAGCCCCCAGAAATTCAACAACTGTTTCCTGCCTGAACTGTGCTCTGGCAACCTGTTTTTTCGCCTGGTCAGCCAATGGTAGAAAATTAATGTTTTCTTTTCCTTTCTCATATGGGCCAAATATGCAACATTAGCTTCTCTGCTATTTCAGAGTGAATTGTTCCCAAGCACAGGGGTCTTGAAATGAAAAAAAATTTCACTCCTACTTTATAAATAACTTAAATAAACCTAGAGTATGTATATATATATATATATAGTTATATCTATGTAAACATATTCATATGTGCATATCTATGTATATACACGCTTATTGTGACAGACTGAATGTTAGATTTGGTTGTTAGCGACATTTTGTATTACATAAAAGCAAGAACGTTGTTAGCAACACTATGTATTACATAAAAGCAAGAATTTTTGTTCATAGTAGGAGTCTCAGACTCCCACACTATGGGCACTAACAGGATTCTTCAAAGCAGCCATAATGATGAAACTAATGCTAATCTGATGTCTTCCTTCACTGTGCATTCCATTTGAGTTACTTTTAAAAAAGTAATAATAATATCTTTCAGTCATTACTGAATTAGATAACCAAAAGGATTCTCTGTTTGAAGTCCCTATGCCCAATTGTCAGTAGCTACATATGGATTTTTAGTATAAGCAATCCGCTATAGCAAATCTAACTTTAGAGATCAGTTATTTTACTATAAAATATAATATTCATACATCCATTCTAGCATCTCTACCATTCAACAAAATGCTGAAAGGATATACATAGTTAATTATACAGAGGTGTTGAAAATTAAATCTTCCTGCATACTGAGAGCAGCAGAAAATTAGTTCATTGCTCAATAATAAATAGGCAGATTATGTTATAAACATCAAACCTTTGCTCAGCACGTAATAGAAACTCACTTTGCTCTCTAACAGCTGCCACAGCTGTTAATGAAACACGACACACCTGGAGTTCAGTTGAGTCTGTTAAATGCTTTCAAAAGATGCCAGTCAATTAAAGCATTAGATAAGTGATTCTTTCCAACTTAGGGTAATTTAAGCAAGTGACCATTACACAGTGATTTCCAGTTGAGAGAGATATTAGGAAGGTGTTATACAGAAGTTTCAATTTTAGCCTGGCATATTTTATTATAGAATTTTGGATTCCTCTCTGGTACTAGGCAACTGATTCAGACATCTTCCTATATTATGTGGCTTTCACTTGCAGCTACAGGTATTGCAGTTATGCAGTTTTAAACAAGGTTAATTTCCGTCTCACTGCTTGACTGCTAAAAACTAATAAACATTTACGGATTTTTTTGCATGTTCTTCTCCTTCCATCACAGAATAGAATTCATAAAAAGATCAATTTCTCTGCTTTAGTGCTAAGATGTTATGTTATTTCTCAAATCTCACAAGTCAGTTAGTAGTTTTATAACACTAGCCATTCATATTTTTTCACATTGGCCATCCAGACATAAAGATAATGCATGTGTTGTTATGAGGTATCTTAATTTCTGGATAGTTAGATTTGTCTACTTGAGCTCACAGTATCTTCTGTGGGTTTTTTTTAAATCCCAGGCAGCATGCAAGTATCAGATGCTACATAACTACTGAAAACGTTGCAACAAGAAACAAAAAAAAAATCTAGAAGCCAGGGGACAGCAA